CTAGGCTCATGGACTGCACCTCTGAACTCTTTACGTGCTGTCACTCACTCTGAGCCTATCTGGATGCTTTCAGCATCCCTGCATTGCATTTTGCCCCCTCAGCCAGAGCAGGCTGCTGTCGAGTCACGTGGATGGCCTTCAGTAAAGGGTCATCGAATCATAGAATTTCTACAGTGCAGAAAGAGGCCATTCAGCCCATCGAGTCTGCACTGACCCTCTGAAGAGTATCCCATCCAGACTCCCCCTATCCCTGCATTTCCCATGGCTAATCCACCTAGCTGGCACACCCCTGGACACTATGGGCAATTTAACATGGCCAATCCACCTAACCTGCACATCTTTTGGACTGTGGGAGGAAACTGGAGCACCCTGTGAAAACCCACACAGACATGGGGAGAACATGCAAATTCCACACAGACAGTCATCCCAAGTCGAGAAACAAACCCGGGTCCCTGGTGCTGTGAGGCAGCAATGCTAACCACAGAGCCACCGTGCAAGTCGAGAGCAACCTCCAATACCAGTCTAGGGGCTTGGAAATGGGCAGACAGCCAATCGGGGCAGTGAAAGGCGGCATTTATACCACATAAGGGGTGAGGAGCTGAATGTCAGGCAGCTGTCTTGACTCTTTCTTCCCGATTGTAGGCTGTTTTCTCCAGGAATAAGAGAGTGGCCAGTGTTAATGGATATGAAAATAGATGCTCAAAACGGATAATGTATGTGAATTTTGGTGCAGGTGGGAAAGTGTTCCAAGTGAGTGATTAAGCAGCACTGGGGCCAAGGAGGGGTAATGGTGAGATGGGGTTGGCATTGGAGAGAGCGGGTGAAAGGAGATGTACATGCAATAGTTACAGCGGTAGAGCATGAGCCTTTGTGGGAGGTGGGTACAGCAGCAGAAATAATGTGAATGTGGGATATTAGAGAGAAGATGGTGGCACTTATCCTGCTAAGGTATGGAGAAGGTCATTGACATTCTTCCTATAGTGCTGTGCATTCCTTCAGATGGCTTTAACCCAAGTAGCAACCTCAGGCCAGGCTGGCATAGTCTGGTATCACAGCCAGACCTCCCAGTCATGAGGGAAGCCTCCGCACCACCCTGTCCAGCAGAACCTCTAAGTCTCAGCCCATAAAGCGAGGCGCCGGTTTCTCCCCGCCTGCCATGTCTGGGATAAACATCAGGAACCGCACAGGGTAGTTCCGGACCCATGACAATTGTCTGGGTGTGCAACAAATTTTTAAAGATGGCGTGGGTGCCAATGATGCCAATTGCGGGATATCCACTGAGGGGAGAGTTGATCTGGGACTGGAGCGTAGTAAGTCGGGGACGGAATCATGCACCAGAGGGACAGGATAGCTGGTTAATGAAGTGCATTCAATAAGAAATAGTGAGAGAAATTGTGAGGCCTTGCAGTGGAAATTCCCCCAAAAATACTCAGTGCAGCTTGAAATTTCATCCCTATGTGTCCCGCAGATTTCTGGGTCAAAGATCATGAGCAACAAGCCCCACAATTGGATTTTGGGTTATCTAATCACGTGCTGGGATTCTTCCTTGAACTCCCTGAACTCAGAGGTCTAGGCCCTCAATTTTCGGCTAACTTTTGCCGAGTCTTACATATGGAACATGCCATTGCCTCTTAGTAACAGCTTGATATAGAATAAGGTGAAATTCTCACCTGCCTTCTCAAGTGGACATAAAAAAAATCTCATGACCCTTTTAGAAGAAGATTAGGATAGCTCCTCTAGTGTCCTGACATTTTTTTTACTTCTCAACGAACATTACTGAAACAGATTACCTGTTCATTTATCTCATTGTTTGTGTGTCTAAATGCTAGCTAATTGTCACGTTTCCCAACCTTACAACAGCAACTATACTTCAAAAGCACTTAATTGGCTGTAAAGTGTAATGGGGCTGTAAAAGGCAAGATATGTGTAAGTTCTTTCTTATTCTATTCTAATTAATGTCATTTGGTGTGATAGTGTTGTCATATGTTATTGAATTTGTATTTCAGAGCTCTGAATTAATCATTGGCCATAATTTTAACCAATTCCATTTCCAACTACCCACCTCTATTCTTCAAATCTCTCTACCCTTCATCTCACTTAGTTCTTTTAAGAGCATCCTTAAAATGCATGCCTTTGATCTAGATTTTAGTGAACTATCTTCAATGTCTCCTTTTCTATTTCAGTGTAAATTTTTATTTTAAGCCCGGTCTGATACAATTTCTTACATTAAAGGTGTGATATATATTGTATGTGAGCTGCTGTTGCCATTGGGATTATTTAATTGAATAAGGCTGTAATCTGGATTATTACAATGAAAAAAGACACAATTTAAGTACATTAGACTTCTTTTGTGTTGCGTTTTCCCATACCAGATAGCATCCTCTTGAATCACTGTTATGCCTTCTCTAAAGCATTAATATTAGTCCAATAGCATGGACATACAGTTCACCAAGTTTTGCCGCACACTTGACATTACTTCTTGGCTGTTTATATTCTGTGCCTTTTAAGATAAAACCTATCATTCTATCACTTTATTTGTAGCCTGAGTGCACTGAGCTGCTGCCTTTAATATCCTGTGAATTTGTTTCTTATCTCATCACTCAGAACCAATCCCGTTTCCATTCAGAGTATAATTACTGCTTTTTTTAACAAAATGCATCTTCTCACATATATTGGTATTGAATTGCATCTTGTTACTTTTAAGCCAATTATCTTATCAATATTCCATTGCTGTTTCGTTTAATTTTATTAAAAGACTTGATAATATTCGATTATTATGCTTGCTATATCCCATTAACATTTCCCTGCTTGAATAGAGATTTTCCACAAATAATTAACCACAGATACCTATCTCCATATATATGTTGAACTGCCAATAATTTCCCACCATCTTACACCTCCTGCAATGTCTTCATTTCGGTAGAACAGTCACATTCTCAGACTGCTTGTCAGGTATTGTTGTCTACAAATAAGTCTTTTATTTGACACAGGTCTTATACTTAAAAACATGTACATTGGACAGGATGCTTCCCATACAACTTTTGATGGTTTGCGTTGCCCTTAGCAGGTTTTGCATGTAAATACTTAGTTGGCTATACAGGTGATTAATGGTGGTAGTTAGTAGTTTACAGAGAGAAAAAAAAAATCAGTGGTGATTTTGTGGTGGGTACGTGTGTGAGAGCGCTTCTGGGTACAAAACTAATGGAAAAAGGAACAGGATGCTCAGGGCTCTTGTGTTGCAGTGGTCATGTCCCCAGCTTAGAACCAGGGGGCCTGGGTTCAAGTCCTACCTGCTTCAGAGGTGTGTAATAACATCTCTGAACAGTTTAATTAGAAAACATTGGAGCAGGACATACCTGACATCGAGACAGGCCTTGCCAGACTTCTTGCTGATTATGCCACGATTCACCATAATCCAGGTCACTCAGATTCTGTCTAAGGTTTTGAACCAAAATGCTAAGGTATATTTTCTCTTTACACATTTGGTTTGCTGTACATTTCCAGCAATTTTATCTTGTTTAGAATTTCAGAAATCAAATAGAATTTCTATCTTTTGGTGAGAAGTGCATTCTACACCAACCTCCTGCCACCCGCCATGCTCTCTTCCAACTGTGTCCCTAATTGTGTGCAAGGATTCATTTTCTCATCTAAGCCCAAAGAACGGTATAGATTTGCAAGAGCCAAGAGTTAGGACTCCCAATGCTGCATAGAGGTACTGAGGAATAGTGGCAGAAGAGTGGTGATAAGCTTCCTTCAGCTTGTCTGACTACGTCTTACTTATCTAATAGATCATTGGCATGCAGAATTACCTGGAGCCAAGTAGCAAGATCCCTTGCTGACAGTGACAAGTTTCCCCTCCAGCTTTCGTCAATGAGCCAAGTTGGCTCAAGAATCGTCAGTGATGTTCTGGTTTATCGGCTCAGGTATCAGCTTGTTGAGACAGCCAGTGAGGATCGGCCCAGTTTTAGTCCTCTGTCACTACTAGACTATTAAAGAAATGTTTTTTTTTTCCATCCTTTGTATATAATCTTAAGACTTGAACCCCCTGAAGTGAACTGCAAGTGCACCAACTCCTGCTAATCAATATAGTTGATCAGCAGTTCTCAGTTTAAATCTATATCATCTTCCTTGCAGATCCAAACAGTGGTGTAATCCTGTCATTACTCCATTACAAATTGATGTGTTACATGTCTAGAATATTAAACTTTTAAACAGATAATTTGCGGTTTGAGAAGCGATAAAGGATGATGCAACAGCTGCATCACAGTAAGGAGGGTGTGTTGTTTACTACTTTTGATCAGAATCACATACTTGTCCAGTTTCAAAACATGTTTTTCGTAGGCCGGTAAAACTGAAAAATAAAAACCAAAAGAACTGCGGATGCTGTAAATCAGGAACAAAAACAAAGTTGCTGGAAAAGCTCAGCAGGTCTGGCAGCATCTGTGGAGGAGAAAACAGAGTTAACCTTCCTAGTTCTGAGG